CTTTTTCTCTCCTTCTCTCTCTCTTTCTCTCTTTTTCTTTCTCTCTTTCTCTCTTTCTGCCTGCCTCCCTCCCCTCCCTTTTCTTTTCTTTCTCCATAGAGTATCAACTTGTATTAAATTTTTTGTCAGGCATTGTGTGTACTAATATTTGTCCCTTTTATATATACAACCCCAGTGCCTCATGCCAATTGCCTTCATCATTGTAAGAGATCCTGTATGAGAACCTTAAATGCTTCCACTGTATCCCAGTGGCGTTTTATGAGTGTCCTCTATTCCATTTTCTCTTTCCCTTTCTACAGTGTCTCTCATGCAAGAGTTCTTTTTCAGATTGTCACCCTTCATTAGCTTTCTTTATCTTTCAAGCTCCTGCTTTGTCATGTGTTTGTCTTCTCCATATGTATGGTCCATGCATACTTTCCTAATTCCTTCACTTGGTTTCTTCTCAAAGAATGATTATTCTCTTTCAATTACCTTGAAACCTTTGTCCATTCTTGCCCCTGCCCTGAGTCCTTCTTTTCCTATTCTTGCCATATTGTGCATGACATTTCTCCCTGTTGGTTTAGGCTGTAGACAGTCTCTTTACTCAGCACATTAACCTGGGTAGGAAAAAGAATTTGAGAGAGACATTTTATCCAGAAACATTAGGTTGTCTGGGATTCTGCTCTTCTTGCATGTTGAGGTGGCATTTAGGTCCTGATGCCTAGAAATTTATGAGGCATCACCTTCTGTAATCAATCATCTCTCTACAATCAAACTGAAAGGAGTTAATAGGAAGCTAAATTCAGTTTTGTTTGTCTAGTAAATTTTAAGCAACTGTAAAGCAATTTCTAATATTAAAATATACTTTCTGTATGAGTGCTACAATTTTATAACAAAAGCAGCTGCTCTTTTCATTAAATCTGACAGTAGAGTAAAAGAGTAAAAGCAGAAGTATTTCTTTTTATGAATAGCTTTCTTCTGTTTTCTTGATGTCAATCTGTACTTAAAATTCTTAAAAAATATGCAAACCAAACACAAACACAAACTCCAAAGCAAACAGCAGCATAACAAAACACACACATTTGCCCTTCAGATTCATGTTTGCTGGAAGAATAATTACTGCCTAGGTTTAATGGGTGGGTGTTAAGTGAAGTACATTATTATCCACAGAGTGAGCGCAGGTTTTGTATAGGATGATATATAAGTATACAAAATAATGTTCTTCATTCCTAGTCTGGTCTGCAGTGGTGAGAAGCGTCGACGTGAGCAGGAAAGCAAATACATTGAAGAGCTGGCTGAGCTGATATCTGCTAATCTGAGTGACATCGACAATTTCAATGTCAAACCAGACAAATGTGCTATCTTAAAAGAAACTGTGAGACAGATTCGACAAATAAAAGAGCAAGGTACAGTTCCCTGCTAAGTCAAGATTAATAGTTTAATTTCATTGTGATTCTTTTTTTGTAGCAGTAGTTACTTGGGAAATTGAGTAGTTTTTCACAATAGCATGTAACTGAGCAGGTCTTTGGACTTTGGCTTCATTCAAGCCTTAAATGCACCTTAAGTAATTTTCTATTTAAAAGTAAGCAAGTATTTATCATCACTTTATTGGGAATCAGGATTTCAAAACTGCATACGGCCTTTCTTACCAGTTTTGTACCACAGACAAGTTAAAAAAAGAGGAGATGCTATTCTAACATCTGCTTGTACTCTATACCAAATACTCACTGGTATGAAGAATACATGCCATTGCCTTTCACTTCAAGGGAACCTATCCTTTTCTTATGGGCAAGCCTCCAATCAGAGATAGTGATTTTTATGGATTTTTTTAAATTGCTTTTTTAGTGTGATTGAATGGACTCAGAATACAGCCAACTCAAAAAAGGAGAAAGAAACAATGCATCATATCTTGGTAAACTCTGTCAGCTAGGGTAAACCTAAGTGATATAATACTTTTTTTTAACCAACAGGTGTGTGCAAAACCCATGTTTTGAAATATAGAGTGAGGAGTATATATAATTAATTTTTTTAAACACCACTCCACCCCATCTCCACCTCCCAATGACTAGCCTCCCAAGCTTATATGTGTTATTTGGGCAGTAAAGTATTAGAAAAACAGAATATGCTGTGTGTATCTTACCCATTGTGGTAAATTGCCACATCTTATGCTAAAACAATTTTCAAAAACCAGCTTCTGTTTTTAAGGTTTTTTTGTAGTGTCATTGTGTGAATTCTAATATTTCATTAGAGATTTGAGATGTTGTACTCCTCCTGTGGTCTGCTTAAGCAGCTAGCAAGTACCACAAAATAAAGCTCACAGTGTTTTTTCTGTAATTCTGCTGCATGGCATGAATTCCCATTCCACCTTCCCCTGTGATAAATTAACTCAGAATATTTTGATTATTTAAATATGACTGTTATACGCATGCACACACATACACACACACACGTATATACACATACAGACACACAGCTGTTAACATAAATCAAAGCCTTTTTGAAGAACAGTGGTGATGGCATCTGAAGACTGTAACCAATGATAATGAGCTGATCAAAGTAAAAACATAAGAGATATATGAGTGTTTTTAATGGCTATTGAAAGCAGGTATTCATCAGACAGTATCTGAAAAATAACAAGAAATGTTCACAAAGCAAGTTCATCATGTCAGCTTCAACTGCCAAGTCAATTTATGTGAGCAAAGATTTGGCGTTATGTGGCCATGACATTTTCTGGTCTTATTGGCCAACAGTATATGAGCCCTTCTCTCTCATTTGTGCTTCTTTTTGTGTTTATTTCACACTCTCCCTAGGATCTGACTCGTAATATTAAAATGTGGCTATCACATGAAAAGTTGCTTTATGGAAATGTATTTTTTGGCTTTCAGGAAAAGCAGTTTCTAATGATGATGATGTTCAGAAAGCTGATGTATCATCCACAGGTCAAGGAGTTATTGACAAGGATTCATTGGGACCTCTTTTATTACAGGCAAGTACAAATTAGGCCCTAGTAAACCGCTATGTAAGCAAATACTTACGGCAGGGGAATATATTACAATAAAATATGTGTAGCAGATAGGGCCTGGCATTCGGAAGATCTCGTGATGTTACGGGAAGACAGGGCCCCTGCCCCCTTAGATAAGAAAATTAACATAGGAATGTAGCCCCCTGAACCGGATTCCAGTAATTTTCCACTTGCCCAGGTAACTTTCCATCCCTACTAACCATAGATGGTAAGGACAGACCCTCACCTGACGTAGAAGCCCCTTAGACTATAAAACCCCATGAGAAGAGAGAATAAAGGCCTTTGATCCTCCACCACATTGGTGTCCGCGTGTTTCTTAGGCCCGAGCGACCCTAGGGAAGAGGGTCGCCGTGCTGTTTCCTGAAACCAGGCCGCCTGCCTTGTATCAGAAGGCAACAAATATGCAATCCTGTAGTAACAAAATAGTATGCAAGCACCATGCAGAAGTATGTTTTAGAGGTTCAGGAATAAAATCTATCATGTTTTCTTAATTTTGCTGAAATTCTCTGTAGAAGGAAATAGAATAGCCTTTTACTTTTTCTAGTATTCCTATGCTTTATTTACTCTAGCAGTCATTAGCAAATTACTACTGAAGCAGTGCTTATTTGTACAAGGAATACTTTATTTGTTCTAGGAGATAGACATTAAATGGAGTTTTTGCAAGGAGAGGTTTGTTATATGTATGTCTGCATTTGTGTTACTAAATTATGAAGCATTTTAAATGAATGTTGCCATCAAGTAAAATAACCCAAGATTAACAGTAAACAAAGGTACATAGCAGATAGCCTTTCTTTATGCCTGGAAAACCAATCTGATATTTACTAGTTCATGAAAGCATTTTTGAATCTTAGTTTTTTAACATAGATATTGAATTTCTCTTTCAGTTAAGAACATACAGTATTTGGCTAGCTCCTCCTATCTCATCACTTGATAGTGGAAATGTCTTCATGTTCATGACTCGCTGTTTGTTCCTACTGAACTTCTTGTTTCAATTTGCTAACTATTGAATTAACGGTACAAATTCGTGATCTAGTAGTTCATATGAATCAAGAATGAAACAAGAAGGCTGGTTATCAATGTGAAAGCTGAACAGAATATCACATGGACATATTAATTATTAGTATATAAATAACTCCCTACCATATGCACTTTTCCTCAAAGAAGAATTTAAAACTTCATGTCTATCCTTGAAAATAAGTGAATATATTATAAATTGATATTTATCACACACACTTTGTAAATTGAATTATGTTGAGAATTAGTTGGTCTGTCTTACACGATTTGTTATCATGTTAATATTTAGGCATTGGACGGCTTCCTCTTTGTTGTAAATCGAGATGGGAACATAGTATTTGTATCAGAAAATGTCACACAGTATCTGCAGTATAAACAAGAAGATTTGGTTAATACAAGTGTGTATGGTATCTTGCATGAAGAGGACCGGAAGGACTTTCTTAAAAACTTACCTAAATCTTCAGGTAATAAAAGTTTATCTACTACACTTACTAGACTATTTGAAAACAATCAAAGAAGACAAAAATACACCATAAAGGATAACCTTTCAAAACATATTAGTTATATAAAGAATGTTTTACTACAAGAATATCTTAATCTTGATAAACACTACTGTGTTTTTACAATAGCATGCCATCAGAAATAAATGTGCTGGAAATTCACACTTTACTTTAGCCTTTGAATTTTGTTTACCTATAGCTTTAAAAGAGCAACACTAAAGGAATACTTTCCCTAATACCACAAGGCTGGCTGAAGTAAATGCTTGGTTTTGAAATATATGAATGACTTTCCAGCACTCTATCAAGTGACTTAAAGTGTCATGCAAAAGGAAGAGTGCTTTTCACTTGGTTCTCAATATTCCTATTTTTTTACCAAGCTATATTGATGGTATATTGAGAAGGCATCTTAAAATAGCCTTTATTATCTGTAATCTAGGAAGAGGGTATCTAAATTAAGAACAATCAGTTATGAGTTGATTGTATCTGAAAATCTGTATGAATTCTTACTATGTTATTTTAAGTTAATGGAGTTTCTTGGAGTAATGAAGCACCGAGACAGAAGAGCCATACATTCAATTGTCGGATGATGGTGAAAAGCTCTCATGACCTCTTTGAAGATGTAGGTGGCTACCAGGATATTCGTCAAAAATATGAAACTATGCAGTGCTTCGCTTTATCGCAGCCAAGAGCTATGATGGAAGAGGGGGAAGGTAGGAATTTTTGCAGAATTGTCATGCACACAAATTTCTTTGAAAAGCTCTTTGATGTTTAGCATACCATTTTCAGGAAAGCAGCAGCTTTAATCCTTACTCTCTGTACTTCCATTGTAACAACAAATGATGCTTCAGCTATTTTATTAGATTATTCAACACAGTAAAACATGAGATGATGAAAGAAGAAACATTCTTTTTATAAATACAGATTTGCAGTCCTGTATGATTTGTGTGGCGCGTCGTATCATGACTGCAGAAAGGGTATTTCCAGGAAATCCAGAGAGCTTTATTACAAGACATGATCTTTCAGGTAGGAAGTATACCCAGGAGGAAGGTATGAAGGAGTCTTCTTTGTCCATGTGCTCTTGTTTTAAATCAATGGAGTGTGTATGGTGTATATGGAGTGACTAACAGAATTCATACTGAGAATTCCCAACTGCTTTTTACAATATACCATTGTTGGTAGTGAGGTGTAATAAAACCTGTGGGAGGCATTTTCTTCTCTATGTTGCTGTTTGGTAGGTTGGTAAAAAGCATTACTTGTGTTTTAGCTGGCGTTTCAAGTGGTTGTCATTCTGCTTTCCTTTACATAGAAGATGTATTTTAGGTCATAACTGGAAGTAATTTAGGACTTCCTAAAAGACTGGAAGTCCTTTAAAAATGCTTATATTTTTATACAATTAATGAGCTAATGTTTAAAGTGGCGTATGCTGTTTAAATTGAAAGAGTTGTATAATCTAAATGGGACTTTTTGTTTATGATGTTTGTTTGATGTAGTTGGTTGCTATTTTTTTAAAATTTTAGTCTGTGTGCATCCCTTAGGTGCCTGTAACCAGAGATGAAAGTTACTGTTTTCTAAAGCTCTGACACTGACCTGTGGGGGATTAACTTCCTCTTACTCAGTTACATAAATTCCTTTGAATAGTGATGCTTTAACAAGCAGCGTCATATTCTCATATGGCAGATAATTCATAAATGTAACTTCTACATGTTCAGAATTTGGTGATTAAAAGTGTTATATTGGAGCCTTAGGAAATGTACCATATTTATACAAAAACAGTTGTCACAGGCATAAAGAGTTTAACTTGTATATTTTCTTTCCTGTTAAGGCAAACTTGTCAACATTGATACAAACTCATTACGGTCTTCCATGAGACCTGGCTTCGAAGATATAATTCGTCGCTGTATTCAGAGGTTCTTATGCCACAATGACGGGCAGTCATGGTCAAATAAACGCCACTATCATGAAGGTAAAAATCAGTTTACAATGTTTGGGTCACAATGTTTTGCTTCTCCTAGGGGCTGCATTTTTTTCTGAAAAAAAAATGCTAAATTCTGCCTGTGTTCCTTTTTTTCCATGGTTTTTGTTAATTACTGTGATTCATTTACAAGCTGAAGGAGGAATTCTGCTGGAGGTTGTTGGGTTTTTTCAATGTGTTTGTTTTGGAAATTAACATGAAAAATACCAGATACACGATCTGGGGTCCTCAAGGAAGCTGTTTTTCCACAGCAATGATAGAGACAATTATATTTCTATGATGATATGTAATTTTTAATTATCATTATATTGTTATTTTCTGGTTAAATAACAAATGGTATTTATTTTGGTGTGTTAGTTTGATGATATTTTATTTCACTCTTTCCTTTGTTAAGAACCACTCTGTGAAAGTGATAACAGTTGTGTTGATGCTTTTTTCTTATTCTCAAGACACAGGGCTCAAAATATTTTCAGTGTTCCAGTGCCACATATTTTGTAATGCTAATTTGATAACCTTGATAGATAAGTGATGTACAGCCACAGTCTTCAGTAAGAAAGATAATGTTTTCTAATTATTCCAAACTCGAGTATTTTTGAAGGATTTACAAAGTAATTCAAGCACAGGAGATGTTAAATAAAGAGAAACTCATACTGTCAACAAATGGATTTTCTATTCCATTGGAAGTTCTTCAACAGAACTGATTAATGAATCCTAAATTAGCACGAGACTTGAAGCTCAATTGAAAACCAATAGTTTCCACAAGTTTTTGATTGAAGCAAACTTAAAAATTCTTCCCCAAGCAGGAGCCAGGGGCTCTATAATCTAGCCTTGGAAGTCTGTTAACAAATGGAGAACTTTGCCAGTTGTGTCTGGTGAGCACAAAATATTACAGCACCAAAATAATCTTGTTTGCTTTTTCCTTCCCTCTACTGATAGAGGAGAAAGAGTGGAATAGTTCCTTTTTCTCTGTATAGGTTTTGAGTATGTTTTATTTATTTATTTATTTATTTATTTATTTATCTATTAATGTATTCATTCATTTCTTTATTCATTTATTTATTTTTAAAGTTTTTTGTGTTTTGGGGGGTAATCTTCACTAAATGAAGGGATATTATGTCAAAAATATAATTCATACTAATAATTCTTGGGATTTAAAATATTAACTATATTCGTGTATTCCCTTTACAGCTTATACACAAGGTCATGCTGAAACCCCGTTGTATAGATTTTCTTTAGCGGATGGTACAATAGTGACAGCACAAACAAAGAGTAAGCTGTTTCGAAATCCTGTAACTAATGACCGCCATGGATTTGTCTCTACCCACTTCCTTCAAAGGTGAACTTAGTAGTATCTGTTTATAATTTAAGTGTCACAGTTTAAAAAAAATCCATCTGGCCTTGAAGACAACCTGAGAAAAATAGCATACTAAAATATTTTACCTGATTAAAACTCAGATGGGGAATAATTTGGGAAACCAAGCTGCATAGCATACAATAAATAAATGTGTAAACCTCGCAGAGTCCCATTTTAACTATGTGCAGAAAGACAGTCACAGTCTAAAGAGAATTTTTTACTCAATACCCGCTCAAAGCCTGTGCTATGTTTATATTAGTCTTTTGTGGTAGCAATGATGAAACACTGAAAACAGAGATGCTAAGTCATGTGCTTTTGCAGACCAATTAAAAAGACAACAAAACCCTCTCAGATGCATAATCCATAACTGAAATGTACCTTAGGTAGTATTTCCTATTTCTTGTTCTTTGAAAAAGTAATTGAAATGTCACTTTGGAGGGAATCTGTCTCCTTCTGGCATTAGAGTGCCTCCAGGTGCTGAAAAGTTAGTAACTGAGCTTGTTCAGGGTCACACACTGTTAATGTGCCCAGTAGAATGGTGGAAGGCATTGACTCAGGAAGGGAATGAAAGAAGGAGGATCTTTAAATGGATAAATCTGATTAGTCATCTGATCATTGATAAAAGCTTTTTGAGGCAGTGATACTGTATGTGATTATAACTCAAAGCCTTCAAAGGATCAAACATTTCTGTAGTGAATAAATGAATGTCATGGCTTAGTTCTGCTTTTGTGGAAGCTTGAATTCTTGCTGCTCTTTTTTGGAAAAATATTTGGGCAATTAATTAATAATGTATTTGTTCCACATGATTCCAAATAAGGTTTTAATTTGTTTTCTTTGGGTTTCTGGGGCTGATGTTGAATTTACAGAGAACAAAATGGATATCGGCCAAATCCTAATTCTGTTGGGCAAAACACCAGAACAACTGTGACTGGAAACACAAATTCTGTTAATGGTCTTATGAACATGTCACCTGGTCAAGCCATGCCAATGCAGAACAGAAACTATGGGATGGGAGATCCCAATGCAGTGGGTCAGCTCACCAGCACTCGATTTGGAAGCCCTGGGAATATGGGGCCAGTGAACTCTGGAACTGGCATGCAGTCCTCTGCTTATCAGAGTAACAGTTTTGTGTTAAATATAAGTAGCCCACCACATGGCAGTCCTGGCTTAACTTCCAGCCAACAGAATCTAATGGTATCTCCTAGGAATCGAGGGAGTCCAAAAATGAGTTCACACCAGTATTCTCCAGTTACAGGTATTTTATTTTTGCTAAAAGCTTTTTTTTAAGCTATTTTTTCTCACTTTTGTCTGAATTCCATCTTTCATCCATTTCAACTGTTCTATATGACCCTGTATGTGTTACTTGGATGTAGTATACCTGACTTCATGTATGAACTCAATGTGGCACTCATACATAATCCAAAGGAAGAGTACATACAGGCAGTACTGTAATCTAATAAGTTTGATCTCTGTCACATGATACAGGTATGCACTCGCCTATGGGATCTGCCAGCAACACTAGCAACAGCACTTTTTCTAGCAGTTCTCTAAGTGCTCTGCAAGCCATTAGTGAGGGTGTTGGAAATTCCCTTTTATCAACACTTTCTTCTCCGGGTCCAAAATTGGATAATTCCCCAAACATTAGCGTAACTCAGCAAATTAAAACAAGTACCCAGGACTCCAAAAGCCCTTCTGGTTTGTATTGTGAACAAAACCAAGTGGAAAGTTCTATTTGCCAGTCAAACAGCAGAGATCTCTTCAGTGAAAAAGATAGTAAAGAGGGAAATCTGGAGGCATCTGAAAGTCAGAGAGGACCATCTGAGAGCAAAGGACATAAAAAACTCCTTCAGCTACTTACATGCTCCTCAGATGAAAGAGGACATTCTACAGCATCAAACTCACCTTTAGACTCAAATTGTAAAGAATCTTCTACCACCGTTGCCAGTCCTTCAGGAGTTTCCTCATCAACATCTGCAGGGATATCTTCCTCCTCAAACATGCATGGGTCACTCCTGCAAGAGAAGCACAGGATTTTACATAAATTGTTGCAGAATGGTAATTCTCCAGCAGAGGTGGCCAAGATCACAGCTGAAGCTACTGGTAAAGACACATATCATGATGCAAGTAACACAACCTCTTGTGGAGAAGACACTGTCAAACAGGAACAACTAAGTCCAAAGAAGAAAGAAAACAATGCTTTACTAAGATATCTACTAGATAAAGATGATATTAAGGAACCGCTTTCCAAAGAGCTGAAGCCTAAAGTAGAAGGTGTGGATAATAACATGGGACAATGCACAAGTTCTGCAATTCCCACTTCAAGTCAAGAAAAAGAGATGAAAATAAAAATTGAGCCAGCAGAGGAGGTACGGTATAATGTAAAATGACATCAGTGGCCTAACTAATATTTTATTATTAAGTGAATGACTAAATATAGAACACTCTACAGTGTGAATGTGTAAACATTTCTAAAAAGGTTCTGTGCAAATGATGTGAAACAATAGAGTCGGATTTAATTGTGAATGAAAAAACACTAACAAAAAGAACTACAGGATATATATATATATAACCAAATCTGATGTCCTGAGGTCCTGGACTAATGTTTTTAAGTTATGGTATGATTAAGGTAATATTTGCACAATATTCCTTAAAATTAGATCTTAGCACATGTTTGGTTTTATGGCTTAGTAGGAAATGGGCCCGTAAATGCCTCTGTACTTAGTTGGCAATGCAAGAGCAAAAGGTAAAACATGATTTTGTTTTGAAAATATAAACAATACACAAAAATGTGTAATACTTGAAATAGCCATGATTTTATTTAGTTCATTCATTGGTTTTAGCACTCTTTTTCTTTTTTTAAATGAGGGAATATGTTCTTCCAAATATATATATATGTATCTCCAGCATTCAAATGAATACGTAATAAAATGTATAAATGTATATATAATTTTTATAAATAAATACAAAGAAATAAGTTCTGGAGGTGGAATTCCAAGAAATGCCATGATGCAGAAAGCTAGCATCATGGAGCAACTATTCTGAAATCAGCAGTACACTTGTTAGGAACAGATGTTCTTAAAATTATAATCTGTATATAATGGTTTTGTATTTAAGTCCTAAGATTTGGAACTTCCTAGTAAACTGGTCAGTACTTTGTAGTACTGGTCAGTATGGCAGAATTTACTGAAGATATATAGATTTCTTAGACCTTCAATTTCCCAAATCAGTAATAACTGGGTAAATTAAAAAAACAAAAAAAAAAGTCACTATCAACTCTGTAGTAGTACACAACATGTAGTTTTAGTACTTGCTTCTGAGATGTAATTAAGGTATTCATAGAAGCTTCTTTCATGAAGATGTTGATCCACTATATATGAATTATTTTCTATTGAAGCTCTATCTGATTTAAATACAAATTTGTAAAGAAAGTTAGGGCTCCAACTGACCGGAAAAACCTGTGCATAATTTTTATGTCTTGTAGTGTTCACGATTAGCTCTTTGTGTTTGATAGATATATTATTTATCAATGAATGGTACACATTCTCGATGTTCACTATCATTAGTGTTTTTATCTTTGTAACTTGTGATGTTTGAAATACTTATAGTCAGAAATGCTTTTCATTTCAGTTATGTGTGTTTTCTGCTAATTCTCAAAATTACCTAAAGAAAATACTCTAAAAAAAAGGTATCTAAATGGTATCTGAATTTCTTTGGAAGTGAAAAGGTAGCTCCAGATAGTGTCAGTGAATTAAAACATTTGTCTCCCAGTCATATGCTTTAAGATTAGCAAGGATCTAAGTAAAAATTTAAGTACAGCCACATGAGAGTAAATAACCTTGGTATTTTACTGCATCATTTTCAGATGAATGGAGACTTGGATAATTTGGATGCAATTCTAGGTGATCTTACTAGTTCAGAGTTTTACAATAATGCTATCTCTGCAAATGGAAATAACCCTGGAACAAAGCAAGCATTATTTCAAGGAAATGCCCTGTTGGGTAAGGAATTAAATCTACCCCCTGGGTTTTAAAAGCAGGGTTTTCTTCTTACCTGATGTAAACATAATGCATCCTCATACCCTTAGAGAATGCCTTCTTCATCTCCTATATCTTCAAGGACAAATGTAATGCAAAATAGCTAATTATGCTTTCACAGGCTATTATGTACACTATTAGCTGTCTTGACAGCACTTGCCTACTGTATGCACAATGAATAACATTCAGTTCCTTGTTTTATGGTTTATTCTGGCTTTGTCTAATGTAGATTTCTCAGAGACAAGTTATCAAGAAGGATGTTTTGTGAGCTGTAAATTAAAACTGAGAATTTTTATCCCTCACTGATGACTAGGGATATAATATGGGATTGGTGACAAGCTTTTAATTTCTTTCTTATTCTGTGTGAAAATATCTTGTGGCCAGTAAATCCTAATCACTACTCCTCCTTGACATCAAAAGGAATGCCCTTCCTTAGAAGGAGGGGAGGATAACCTAGCTGATAAACCAGCATCATGGCAGTTGTTGCTTTCTTGCATGACACTGGTCATCTCTTGGTTATATAGGGCAATGGATTGCTGAGATAAGCAAAGGAGGTGAAGCATGGGTAATGAAAAATATAAAGCCAGGTACAAGAACACGTAAGGCCACTCAAGAACACGTAAGGCCACCGGCGCTATTGGCTGTGAAGCACAGTAGGTTAATTGTCCATAGAGGACACTGTGCTCAGAAACTCACCATGTCATTACAGAACTTAAATTAAAAGGGACTTATTTTTTTTTTTTTGTGTAGGGCCACAGGGAACTACCTTTGACTTTTATTGCAAAAGGTCCTAACGATGTGTTCAAAATGGGAATTTTTGTTGTGGAAACATAGGCAACATAACTGTTCCTGGCTTGCTTAAGATCAAGTGTATGAGTTCATAAAGAGATGAGACTAATTTTAGTCATTAATAGCATATTTTATTTAAAATGTACAGTTGCATGCATCTTTTAATTCTTTAACAGGTGTGAAGAGTCCCCAGTCTGTGCAGACTACTCGCCCACCTTTTAACAGAGCCATGTCTTTAGACAGCCCGATGGGCTCAGGTGCTTCAGTGAGGAATGTCAATGTCAATGCATTCTCCATGTTACAAAAGCAAAACTTGATGGGTGGAAGTCCAAGAATGATTGAAAATCAAGAAAATTTTGGAGCAAATCTGGGTTTGTTGGTTGTATACAAACAGCTGTCATTGTAAAGGAAATAGCTTTAATGGAAAAAAAGTTGCTAGACTAAAATACAAATTTCAGTTAGAAGAAACTTTAACATTAAAGAATTTTAATTTTACCATCATTAATACTTCTGAATTATTATCTTAGCTAAAATTATAAGAACCTAACAGTTTACTACCTGTGTCATTACTAGTACTTTACTATAACTAGTTATATTCTTTTTTACTATTTTGAGTTTTTAGTTTAACATGTACTTTTGATATATAGAAGCAAGAACAGTTCAGTGGCAGCCAGTCATTATGAATTTTACATATATTTAGACGTATATATAGTTTTACGTATATGTAGTTTTTGAATTATTTAGAACTTGGCAGGGTGAGCTCTAGATGCTTTTGTAGGATGTCAGTCAATTGCTCTGATATTAGCAGCTGCACTGTTATGAAATACCTAAATAATTCAAAAACCAAAATACATAATGTACTCCAGATAATAAATATTTGTCTTCTGCTCTTCATTATAGCAAGTGCTCCCCACAGACATGTGGCGATGAATCAGCATCAGCCAGGAGACTGGGGTTTGCCAAACTCTAAAGTGAACGGATTGGAATCTGCAAGTTCTGCTGCAATGTTGAGACCAGGAGTTGAATTTAGTACAACCCTTCCGAGGCCCCCAGAGGCTGGCTCTGTGTCTGGGCTGCCTGTTCGCTCTAACAGCATACCTGGTAATAGGCCAATGCTGCAACAGCAAATGATTCACATGAGTAAGTTCTTAACTTCTTGTTGTCCCACATAGCACTATTTCCCTGGTTTCCTAGTAAGCATTCATCATAAGAATCTTTGCACTATTGGTAAAATGCTAGATTTTTATTTAAAGGCTTTTTGAGGTAGAGACTGTTATTGTTCCCTGACTGTGACATTTGACGACTTTTTGGTGATGTTCTTGTTTTCTTCTGGTGCTGTGTGTCTCATACACAGATAATTTGTTCTGGGTCCCGAGATTGGGTGGGGGGGATTATTTCTGTGTGTTTCTTTAGTGCAGTACTTCTCTGCTAAATTCCAGGAACTAAATGGCGTCTATGATTCCATATGTAAAGATACTAGCATTGTGGTTAATTTAATTCATCCTATTTGATACGGATTTTTTTTTTCTGTTAACTTCTTGGTAATCAATGCCTTTTAAAGTTTTTCTCTCAAGTATTTCAAATTTCTTTTTACATGGAGTAGCCAAATTTCATGTAAAGCCACATTGCAAATACCTTTTTCCTTTGAAGTATTCTTATGTGCATGAAAGAAAATAAGCTGTATGTCTAAAATATGAGCAGTCTTAAAGCCTGTGGGTTTTTTTCTGTTTTATGTGTCTAACAAAGGTTTAGTCTAGAGCTGAAGTTTTCCAATCTACTATGCCAATACCAGTATGCCCCAAACCAGTTTAAATAGACAGCATTCTTTTCTTAAAATGGAAAGCTACCAAGGCTGTCACCAGTTCCCTCAAACAGACTTACTATTTCAATGCAACAAATGGATATAAGATTAAATACGGAAGAACTTTGTGCAGTCCTGACTAAGTCAGAATTTTCCAGCTCAGCTTCCTAGAAATCATTGATGCTAGGTGATTCATACTGATGCTGGGGAATAATATGATGACAAACTCTCCTATGTAGTGCTGTATGTCCCTGGATAGGTAGAGGGAAAAAAGTACTCCCAAAGAGCAAAATGGTATGTACTTTATGTTTCTTTTAATTGCCACCCTGTATTAGAATTGAAAATGCCAGATTTTGGTGTCACTATGACAGTGTGTATTTGCTGGTACCCAGATGTCATTGTCCAGAATTTTTGTTGGGGTTTTTTTCATGTAAGATGCTGTGTCTTCCATGCTCCTATTTAGAGACTAGAGGATTAGAAATAGCAATTCTGCTCTAACAGGGTAGCAGGTCCAGATCACTGTCTGCTGTATTTAAATCTGTGGTCTGTTATATATGTGAAATGATCTTGAGTTCATGTGTGCATATGCTGTAAAACATAATAATGGAAAGCTCATGAAGCTGCTTGACAATTTGTGTGATCATCCTAACTGAACACTAGGATAGCAAGATGAAACCTTCAGTTTTTAAAAAATACACAAATGTTTTACCTTGCAGGGCCAAATGAGATAAACATTGACATGGGAGGTAATCACTATGGACAGCCTGGACCTTCTAACCAACCTGGATTGTGGCCTGACAATATGATGTCCATGGAGCAAGCATCACGGGGTTCACAAAACAGGTAGAATTGGGGAAGGTTTTAAGGCAATTTTAAATACAACTGTTCACTGTCTGTCAGAAGAATTTAAGACCTGGAAATAAAATTGTGTAGCATATGCTGTGGGGATGACAGATTGGAGGCAGAATTCCATTTCTGGAATGTTTCTGAAATGTTTCCATTTCTGCTGCTGATCTGACACAGGATATTCTTTAAGCTAGCTCCACAAAAGTCATTGTTAACAAAATCTATTAACCCTTGAATTGGGAGGCACAGAAAAAAGACATGAGAGACTCTGAAATAATACCTCTGCGGCACATGGCAAAACCAGGAGAAAACAGAGTTTATATGTGTTTAAGGATGCATGGAAGGTGACTGGACACTTTAGGACATAAATTTTGGACTTAAGTTGGGTAACTATACTACTTAATCATACCCAGGTCAATATATTATATAAAAACTGTAGTTTTCCTTGTAATGGTTGTAATGAATTTCTTCACTGAAAGAGTGGTCAGGCATTGGAATGGGTTGCACAGGGAGGTGGTGGAGACACCATTCCTAATGTGTTCAAGAAACAACTGGATGTTGCACTTAGTGCTCTAAGTGTGGTTGGCAAGGTGGTATTCCCTCAAAGGTTGGTCTCCATGATCTTAGAGGTCTTTTCCAATCTTATTGATTCTATGATTTTAGTGGCTTTTTTTTTTTATTTTATAGACTACTAGTTAGAAGCTCTTTGGATGATCTCTTATGTTCGGCACCAAATATGGAAGGCCAGAATGATGAAAGGGCACTTCTAGATCAGCTGCACACACTATTGAGTAATACAGATGTCACAAGTCTGGAAGAAATTGACAGAGCGTTAGGAATTCCTGATCTTGTAAACCAAGTAAGTAAACAGATATTTTGGCCATTTATTTTCCAAATAGCAATATTATTTTATTACTCGAAAAGAAAGTCAAGAGGGCCTCCTCATTTACTTTGTCTCATCACATCCTCATCTTCATATTCATTTTCCTTAGGAAACATTTATATTGACTAGTGATTTTCAAAGGAGTAGCTCGGTATGGATTAAATTCCTTGTGCATGACAAGAAATACAAAGTTTATTGTATAATGCCTTTGTATATATAGGCGGAGTTTGGGGTGTAGCTCGTTATAATTCTAGAAGCTGAGAATTCTGTTGGGTTTCCTTAGTAGCCTGCTGTCAGCTGAGCTTAGGTTGTGAATTATTTGACTGTCAGTGATGTGGATGCTTCCCTCTCCTTCAGTTCCAGGTTGAATTTGCATGGCTAGCAGATAGAAAAAAGAAATTCTGTGAGTACTTTGGGAGTTGCCATGACCCACGTGACACCATCATTTGTACAAATATGGCTTGAATGGTGACACTGGTCTGCCTGTGTATGCAGTGTGCAGCAAAACTGATTTTAAAAAGAATTATTATTATAAATCACTTTTGCTATTTCATTAGTTTGGTGACAAAACTAACAGTAGCTGTCCATGCTATGTTCTACCCAAGAAATGGCTGGGTGGTGTATTATACTTAGTTAGCTTTATTGCTACTTTAGAAATTCTATATATACTGCTAGTGAAAGCACTTCTGTATCTGTTGAAGGGACAAGCTTTGGAACCCAAAGAAGATTCATTTCAAGGTCAGGAATCTTCAATTATGATTGACCAGAAGCCTTTGTTATATGGTCAACCCTATCAAGGGCAAGGGGCAGCAATGCCAGGAAGTTTTAGTAACATCCAGGGACAACAGCCGTCTTTTAATTCATTGATGAATCAGATGAGCCAACCGAGCAATTTTCCTCTGCAAAGTATCCATCCCCGAGCAAATGTGATGAGACCTAGGACCAACACACCAAAGCAGCTACGCATGCAGCTCCAGCAGAGGCTCCAGGGACAGCAGGTAATTTTTTGCTCCTACTTTTACACTTCCTTCATGTTTCAGAATGGAATCACTTGCACGCAGAATTGTGTTGCTTTACATATGTAACAACAGATGACTGAGAGGGTGGATCTTTTATTTTGACAGTGCTTCTCATTGAATTGGCTGGTGGCTGTAGGAGTAGAAGAACATTTATTAGGACAAGTGTTTCTCCTTCGTCAGCCTCCCTAGCTACAGATTGGATTGGTTCCTGCAGCACACAAAATGATAGATCAAACAGTGCTTTTGTGCAATGTAAACTCTGCATGATCTCTTTATCTGTGTTTAGTATTTTTTTGGAACCTCACAGATAGCATTAAATCGGAGCTATATTTATACTGTAAATCAGGTGTTACTTCTTTCTCACTGTGTTTTCTAACTAATCATTTGGGCTTAGTGATATAGGGGTTTGCTTTCCATTTAGCAATTTGATGTCATTTTAGGTATTTTCTTCGGATGAAAGGTGAGAGAATAGATACAACCACATAGATCTTAACACTAGGTTGAAAACACTGCTTAAAATATTGGTGCATGATTTCAGCAGTGAACTCCCCATGTTAAAATGCAGGCTTGATATTAAATACAGTGTACAAATAAAATTAGGAAAACTGAACTACTGCTGTGTGACATGGTGTGTTAGCAGAATACATGCAGGTAACACCAAGGCAACAACAACACACAGCAGAAGTACAAAGGTTAGGTTTATTCTGTCATCCTGGATTCGAAAAAACAGAGACACATACACCGCTAAGCTCATTTTAGAAGGGGCAAAAAGTACCCAGGCCTGAGTCCTGCATTCCATAGCAAAAGGGCCTGGAGCATGCACAGTCCTTCACCAACCAGGCTTTCCTTTCATATCTCTAAATCCTCTTATCTCCCTTCCCCCACCTTTATGGAGGCCCAAGTATATGGGAAAGGCTTTTAAAAGTATTTCACAACATTTTGCTATATTTTGTAAGAAAATTCAGTTTCTTCTTTGTAGACAGACAACATCCCAGAGCAAACATAAATAAGTGAATTTTCTCAGCCAGAGTATTTGTTAACATCTCCCTGGTGCCTGGTTGGTCCTTGACAGAAAACAATTCTAAAAACAACCCCCTTTTCTCTCTCCTTACCAATCTTCCACTTTTCAACCCTTTCCTTTCCACGCATGGAACGGCACTGCTAGGAAATACTGTGTTCTCTCTTGGTTTTCTGTGACATTTATTGTTTAAAACAAATAGATAATCTGCTCTTTATTCCTAAAGAGAGATAATTTAAGGAAAATACAAAACCAAAGCCTATTAATGCTGCACTGATTGAAGGCTTTTTCTTTTTGGTGTTTGAGCTGTTTAAACAAATTGTTTAAAGACAAGTCAAAAATTAACCATTGCACTTTATGGATTCAAGAGGTCTGTAACAAAAGTGTTTTTGCAGGACTTGCCGTTACTTTTTTCAGATACTGTTATTTTCAAGCTAATAGTGCTAAAATGTCTTTTTCCAAGTTTATGAATCAGACCCGTCAAAGTCTTGAAATAAAAATGGAAAATCCAGTCAGTGGTACTAACTCAGTGATGAGACCAGTTATGCAGCCACAGGTGGGATCCCAGGTAAGTACTTCCTACAGTAGCCATCTGTTTAGAATTTCAGCCTTCTTTCATGGCTTTACAGTATTCCTCTGCATAATTTTTTATAAAGGGTTTTTTTTGCCTCTCTTATTGCTGAGATTGCTGAGGGATTTGTTCAGTAGGTCATGCTGTCAATTCAGTATGCCAAGTTTTTCGTGTAAATTTCATCATTTGTTTAGCACTAATGACAACTTAATGAAAAGTTTTGTCTTAATATTTTGATGATTATTTTTTGTTTATGGGTTTTCCTTGACTTGCCAGGTCTTAGGAATGAGTTTGATTGACTCTGACATGATTTTATTTGTAAAAACATCTTCTAATATGATTTTTCTTCTCTTTGGGGGATAGCAGCAAGGTTTTCTTAATGCTCAAATGGTGGCTCAGCGTAACAGGGAACTAATAAGTCACCATTTTAGACAACAGAGGATGGCAATAATGATGCAGCAGCAACATCAACCTCAGGCCTTCAGTCCACCACCAAATGTGACAGCCTCAGGAAGCATGGACAGTGCTTTGACAGGCCCTCCAATGGCTCAAGTTCCTTCACAGCAATTTCCCTATCCACCTAATTATGGTACTAGTACTAACATGTTTGGCTTTTTTTTAATCATTTGTTTGGTTTTCTTTTCCCTTTTTTTATTAATCCAAACTATCTAAATACCAATCATTATGAAAAATGGACTATACTGCTACAAAAAAGGATGACTTTTCTCCTTCCAGCTACTGCAAGAAGATGAATAGAAGTACTAGGTAATGATAACTGAAGTATATTGTATCTATCTCCTTTGTTTTATTTTAAGGAATAAGCCAACAACCCGATCCTGCATTTAGTAGAGTATCAAGCCCTCCCAATCCAATGGTGTCATCAAGAATTGGACCCTCCCAGAATCCTATGCTGCAGCATCCTCAGTCAGCAACAATGTACCAGTCGTCAGAGATGAAAGGCTGGCCCTCAGGAAGCATCCCCAGAAACAGGTGAACTTCAGGATTACAACCTGTTTCTCAAAAAGTCTTTCATTTTGCTGAAAGTAGAAACTATGTTAAATACCATGCAGCAGGAAAAGCATTTACAAGAGACAAAAGTAACTTTCTAGTGTCTGTATTGTCCTTCATCCTGCTCTGGTTTAGGAAATAAAATGATTATTTTATCCTTAGCTCCCTTGATTCATATTGGACCTCTACAATCTTTGTAACCAGAAGCAACATTCAGTCTTTCAATATTACTTAATATTTAAAGAAAAAATAACTTTGGGGAGGGGGTGGAGAAATACAGAATATCAAATAGTATTACGATAGATGATACAGCTCTAATAGTAGCCTCCAAAAAGATTGCATTAGGCATACACGTACAACTGCATTTCTAAAAACTCAAATTCCTCTTGGGAGGGGAGTTTCCATGTTTAACAGATATTAGGTAAAACTGAGTAAATGTGAAAACAGTTTTATATTTCACATGTTGACAGCTGGTGCAGGGAAGGCAATACACCAGTGTGTAGACCTGGAAGGTAATTTCATTTGTCCTTTTGTACTTCAGTTCTTTTTCCCAGCAGCAGTTCAGCCATCAAGGTAGCCCAGCAGCATACAGTATGATGCACATGAATGGCAGCAGTGGCCATATTGGACAGATGAGTATTAATACCATGCCTATGTCAGGACTGCCTATGGGTCCAGACCAGGTAAGATTTGCTGACTCTTTCTCTTGAGTACAGTCTGCTTACATCCATTCCTCCTGCACAATCCTGTTCTCAGTTATCCTGTTAGTATCTGTGGTCCTATTAATTTTATGTCCTAAGAGATACTTTCTTTTTGATGATACATAAGCAAATTCACAATGAGGCCAAGCTGTATGCTGGGATTAGCTTTGAAGTTGACTTTGAAGTATCATGGATAGGACCAAGCCTTAAACTGCACAAAGGATGATGAAATACTTCTGAACCTGGAGAAACCCCAGAAAAAAATCCATGGACATTGTGAAATGCATCTTCAGCAGATCTTGAAAATTACATGTAATACAAGTCAGGCTAAGAATCCTGCTAGTGCAGTATCCTTCTTGCAGACACTGATAATGATACTTGCCCTTACAATACCTTAGAATAACTTGTGTATGCATAGCCAGAAACAACGGAAAATTTAGACCCCTCATTTAAGATGAAAATGTGCTAATAACAGGCACTGAAAAGAAAGCTGAAATACAAAATACACTTTTGCCACAGTCTTAACACAAAATGCCTGATGAGCAACATAATACTGACAAAAGCTAAATCTATTCAAGTAAAAAGTACCTAATGGAATTTTGTGCAGCATACCTGAGGAAGGAGTCAGAATAATGAGGACTTCTGGGGGTGAGTAAAGTTTTGGAGGACTTTGATACAATGAATGCCTTTTATAAGTAGGAGAATATTAAGGTGAAATGTCAGATTTTCCAAATCTATATGACACAGAGATACCCAAATAGTATGTTTAGGAAATTCTAGGACAGCATTTATCTTCTAGAAATTTATTTTCAAAGTGGAGCACTAGAAAGCTCTTCTGCTTCTAGGCACTGATTGGCAGTAGTTCCTTCTTCCAAATGCAGAATGTAAATCATTTCTTCCAGCAAAGATATCTTCTCTGATGAAAGTATCTTTTCTTTAACAGAAATACTGCTGACATCTAGAACCACATCTTCAAACAAGAATGGTTGAATGCACTAGTGTTATAAAGGAAAGTGACACATTCTTCATGGCAAGTCATACTGGGCTTAACAGAAACCAGTGATAAATTTCCTCACCCAGAGGAAAACAAACCAATAAAAACCCCTACCCAACAAAAATACATTTTAGTAGAAGCAGCCTATGAATTACCGATGATGTGGGGTACAAAAAAAAAAAGTCATTAATATTTTTGGCACTCTTCCTCTAGGAATGTGAATTTGGTAATGCCATTTTAATAGATTTGATGAGTAGACTCCTGGAATACTTTATCTGTTTACTGTAGCTATCCAAAGCCCTTTAGCCCAGGCAGACAAAAGTGCCTGGAAAAGTCACAGTGGTAAGAATTTCCTGATTTCTCTTATAACAATATCTGACAGAGAATGTAGTTCTTAGCCTTCTCTCTTTCATAAGAATCCCTGAATAGAAATGCTGCTTTTAGTCTCTTATCCCAAGAGTCAGGGATTTCCCAAGCAAAGTAGCAGTGCAAAATTATTTGGCATGTGCTAGTCCAAAATCCTGTCTGTTGAAGCCAAGGGTTGAAAAGAGAGGATAAACAATTTAAATTATTTAAACACAATTGTGACTAATACTTAGATATTGCTGTGCAGCTGAGTGCACTTTATAGAGGACTATATAATGGATTGATGCAATGTCTTTGATAAGGACTTAATATGAAGGTAGGGTGTACTCATATTCCTTCACAAACACAATCTCTTAAGAATTATTTGAAAAGACTGCATAATGTAATGTTTTCTCTGTGTGGAAATTAGAGCAATAATCTTTCATCTTTTTCTGAAAAAAGCTTCAGAAAACTCAAGGCAAGACACTGCAGCCCGAATCAGAATTTTGCAGTCTTTTTTTGTGAATAAATTTTGTAAATATGATCTTTAAAATAATGTATTATACATATGACTTTTATAGGTCACTAACTCATTTTTGCAGAGTTTGTGAAACTAAATGTTTAACAAAATTGATTCTGGAAACTGAGTGTAGTTGAGGTCCAAATATTTTTTTTTTTAATTACATTTAAGGACTTTGAAGCTGGGTGACTTTGGCCCACATATTTATCTTCTTTGGTCTTCAACACTTCATTTATTTTTACATGTTTAACATAGAGCTTTTTATAAAAAAATAGACCAGTTGTTGAATACTTTCTCCACCTCTGAGCACTTTTGTTACATTTTTTACCTAAGGCAGTTTGACACGAAGGCCCTGCTCTGTAAGATCTTACAATTTGTCAGGACAGACCTGTCTGTCTATAACAGGTTGCCTTTTCAGCTGATGAATCTGGATTGTGTCTTTTTGGTCAATTTTAATGAACTCTAAACCTTCTTTGAAAATGTTTGTCTGTTGCAAAATACTTGTTATTAAGTTACATCCAGAAATCTTTAAGGATATTAAACCACATTTTAACCAAATGTCTACACCACATTGGATTATTCTAATAGTAACAAATGTATTTTCTAAGCAGATTTCTGTCATAGCAGTATTTAGGTGTTGTTACATATTCTTTGCTGATAGCACTGGGGGATTTTTCCCCCTCCATTCTGGGTGCTTGAAATGAAGATCCCTTTGCACTTTTTGCAATTGCAAGGAATTAAACCGCTAAACCTTCCTAAGGGATGACCCAGAAATGTTTAAGGTGTGTGATGCTTCTGTTACGTTGTTCATTGTGTAATGGAAAACTGATTTCTCCCAATTGAGTAAAAGAAACCAAAAATCCCCTGACCTGTGTTTTTTTTTGCTTATTCTTGGTACTGTTAGCAAGATGAGGTTTTATTGCTCAGACTATTCAGTGATTTTCCATTTTAATAGAAGTAAGTTTCACTAGAAATATTCTCATAAATTCATCCATAGCACCTAGCCAGCTGTGTTTCAAAGAGAATGTAGAGTCAATCACGCTACTTCATGTAACCCTGTCTCTTCCACTAGTACTGAGTATATAGATTATCACAGCACTTACTTGGAATTTTCCGTCCAATTGATGTGTCTTTAGAATGCAAAACTTTTAAAAGCCTAAGAAACTTTTATCTTTTCACTTCTTGGATCATATCTATTTGTTGAGTAAGTGCTGCTTACTGAGGGCGAAAGGCAACAGTCCCTTGCATTTTATATCAAATGAGACCAGAACAATATTTATATTTTGTAGTTGGTCATTATACTGATGGAAACTACCAACACCAGTTGCTTTCATTAGGTGAGCTCTTAGACTATATACTGCTACATACATCTTGCAGTACAATTTTTTTTTTTAAATTAGTAATTCTATTTATACCTCTATGTATAACTAGTACCTACCTGACTGGCATTAGAAAACCTAATCCTTTTCTCATAGGTTTAGCATGTTGGAGCTTTCCAGTACCTACCTTTTTTTTTCCTGAATTAAAAGATGTTTAGTTTAAACTTGATGAAGGGGCAGCGGGCATTTTTAAAATGCATTGACAGCATATTTCGTGACAGCACCAACTAGTACATCTGGTTTGAAATCTGTTGACATTTAGTTACCACCATCAATTTTGCTTTGGTCCTATAGCAGTACATTTTTGTGGATGTTTTTTAAAATAATACCCACATAACATTATTCAGCAGTAAGAGATGAATTGGCTAGTACAGCAACCTCTGATCACTGCTGCATAAATGAGCATTGTTTTGCTGTGTCTCTATTACTTTTTTGATCACATGTGTTTATTAAACTTCCATGTAGTGCGCTTTTTTCCTTGGCCTAAAATACTGCTTCTGAAGTGAGAAATTGAGACCACATTTTTGTCATAAGACAAAACTTCCTTGAATGTTGCACCAGTTAGCACACCTTTTATTATAGAATTTATGTGCAGACCACCAGATGACAAAATGATACAGCAAGTGTGAAACTATGTAAATCTGAGAGCAATATTTTAAAAAAATTCTCAGGAGAAGGCATACGGTATTGAGAACTGAATCTAAGCTTAGTTTACATTACAAGTATTGCTTGAAATATCTGTATCTTTATTTTGCAAAACAGAGAAATCATAGGGACTGATATAAAAGGGTTGGTTGTAAGGTGTTACTGCCCTTCTGGTTTTTGTGTTTGGATGTTAATAATAATAATGTAAATAAAGGTTTCTATTTATAATCAGAATTTGGTGACACTGTATGAGCTAATACTTTAAGGGTGATTATCCAGTACAGGTCAGAGAAAATTCCCTGCTATCACTGATGAAAAATATATATAAAAAATTATTTACATTTTATCCTAGTTGGCCGTAAAAGCTGAGGGAGTAACAGCTGAGACCTTTCATTTATGAGACAGACATTCAGCACAAACACGAACTAGAATTTATGTCTACTTAAACAGCAAACTCTAGAAGAGCTGAAAGGAGAAGAGGTGGTATCTTTCCCCAAACTTGGCAACAACGTACCTTTCATTAAATACCAGCTGCTTCTTGTGTCACATACAAGTCTCACAGCTCACTATTTTCTATAAAGGGACAAGATAACTTTTCAACCTTCTGCCTGACAAGTAACAGGTGCAGTAACACTGGCCCTGCAGGATTTTAACTGTCACAACCTCAACTTGCCAGAGACTATGAGCTAAATACAAAAGGGCAAATTTTTCATATTCTTTCTGCATGCACACTGGGAATGGCAGATAGCTGAAACTTCTCTGGAAAGCAGAAAAAATGTGGGGGTTTTGGGGAACTTAAGGGTTTTTTTACTTATGTGTGTGGATCCAGGATCTCATAATCTAGTAGATTTTTCTGATAATCCATGAAATTTTTAACAAGTTTAATGAAAACACATGGCAAGATTAAGACAGACATTCAGATTTTACTTGCATAATTAAAAAAAGCTTGCAAGAAAGCTTTGGGTAGTGGATTTGACTTACCACATGTCATACAAATACTCAAGCCCAATCTTACTTAGCATATGTGAAGACTCCACTTCTGCTTTTTGAGCGGGGGTTTTCCCCCCTATTCCTAAATTCAAGTACATTTTTTGAGTAT